GTCAAACTAAATGCCACAGGCCATTTCACATGTTTATAGAAAATATTAAGTCAGAGACAGAATTATGCCACCAAAACAGGGGAATGATATTTTAAGAGAAGAGCATGTGAAATTTAAACAGCAAAAGAAGTGTCAGGAAAACAGCTCACAAACAGGAAATAAATACTTGCTTAGAATAAAAGCTTCAGGTGTATTTCTTGCAGAAATTCATTGCTGTTTAATGTTTACTGATATTTCATGGCTGAAATAGATTCTGTTTCTTATTACACAACTTAGAGTAGGAGACGAGAATTTATTTCAGAAGGGAACAATTCCTGAAGAGTTTATCAGTTCTCTTTCCACATTCTTTCTATTTGTAAAGAAATTTAGAAATACAGAAGTAAACTGCAAAGTAAAGGGGACTGTGTAATTTGAATAAAAAGGCTTTTTCCCAAGTTCTACCATAGAAAGTAAAACCTAGCTTCTTGAAAAAAAAAATCACATAAAAATAATATTGGTAGATTATACAAAGGCAAGAGGTTTTCTCCTACTTAGACAGATACAGATAGTGAAAAAAGTACGTGGACTTTGTAAAAGATCAGGATACCAAATTCCAGATGCAGATGGGACACCAGCAAAGATTAGAACAGGTTCTTCAGTGGTTTGTGTGATTGTGGTTTCTCAACAATGCCAGAGAATTCTGCCTTCCAGTCTTCCACAGATTGTAATTAGATAACCAAAATAGTATTAGGATCACAGTAGAAGATTTATGTTACTGTTCCGTGAGCGTGACTGAGGAGCAAAGAATAAGATAAAGTTTCTGTGAGCTTAATTATATGACACTGATCAAGGATTTTCTAATTGAAATCAGAATGTAGGGTCAGAAGTCACTCTATAAACAAGGTGCAAATTCCAGAGAAGTAATTTTGCTGATGAGTACATGAAGGACTAGGCTGGAATTTGCAAACTTGGGAGTCCTAAATGAGATTTCTAGATATTCAGTATTTTTCCGATAACAGCTCTGAGTTTTAGAGTTGTTTCCTAATGTATGACTCCCACTAACTGCTGTTAGTCAAGGCATTTGTAATAAGGTACCAGTATCTTGGGTTAGGAACCTCAGCTATGTTAACTCCTAAGCACTCTTTCTGAATGCTGTCATTCACACCAACAACTGAATTTCTGTTGTGAAGGAACTTTATATGTTTTCATGACAAATACCAGCATTGTTAAAACCATCTCCATTTAAAAATAATGGAGAACTACGGAACATACTGATACATTTAGCTGATCAAATCCTTGAAGTAGTCCAGAGCTTAAATTACGAAGAACTTGAAGGGATTTTGCCTAATGTAGAAGCGTGGGACAAAAGAAATGTTCACGCTACATTATTTTGCTCTACATTACTTTGCTCAGTTGAGTTTCAAAGGATGAGTTAATAGAAGCTGTTTGATAGGTTCAGCTAAATTTTTTGCTATTTGGAAAGATTTTTCTTTTCCTCTATCCCCACAGGCAGAAGAAGAGAGAGATGATATGGAGAGAGTCAAGCTGGATAACAAAAGAATTCTCTTCAACCTGTTGCCAGCACATGTTGCACAGCACTTTCTTATGTCTAATCCAAGAAATATGGTAAACCAAGATAAAATTTAAATACATGTTGTATGCATGTGGCCCTGTGTTTCTTTTGTATGTTTTCAAGAAAGGCTTGGACTTTTAAAATTTTACTCATATTTAAATACTTTCATAAAAACTTATCTTCAAGAATTCGTTTGAGATCATTTCTTTTGCTTTATGGTCCTCATTCTCTAAAAAATGTTAATAAAAATCAGTATAAGGGCGTGTTGTTATTTAATATCAATGTAACCAAGTGTTTGCATGTCAATCACTTTTTTTCAATCAATTTAGGATATTGGGATTTATCACAGCATTGTATGAACTCAGTTTGGTTCTGAATGGTAAAGCATATGATCTTCCAGGAACTACTGTATTAACCAATCTAGTTCTGGAAAACATGCTTTACCAAAATATGCATTACCAAAGCCATCCATTTAAAGCTAAAAATGGAGAATTATACGTACTCAAATTGAGAAAATATAATTATATTTCTCATGCAATAGAAGTTCTGCGACTGTTAAGACTTTCTCCAAGTTTTTACTCACTACTTCCATGTCTAAACAGAAAAAAAGAAAAAAAAAAGCTAAGTAGTTTCAAATGTGTTTAATACCTTAGGTGTTCATTTTATTTTGTGGTTTTGAATGGAGACATCTTTCAACATTATTTTAAGAAGACTAGCTTTCTCTCAAGCAAAAATTATGGCTTTTGTCCTAGCTATTGTTTAGCAGTATTGTAATAACGATGCTTATTTTAGATTAATCTTTTAAAATAAAAATTATATCTTCTCCTGAACTGCAGGACCTTTATTACCAGTCATATTCACAAGTAGGAGTGATGTTTGCTTCCATCCCAAACTTCAATGATTTCTACATCGAATTGGACGGCAATAATATGGGAGTGGAATGTTTACGCCTGTTAAATGAAATTATTGCTGATTTTGATGAGGTAAGTTCTAACCACTTTGTCTTTTAACCATATGAGTTCTACCAAATTACTATCAACAGAGATTGTCTGTAGTAATTCATCATATCTTGAACTGTTTAATAAAAGAGTAGTGTAAACTTCCTATTTAATCATAGTTGATGTTCATTGGGCTTCTCCGAGGTGGCCAGTTTGTATTTTTAGGTACATGAGTCTGACCTCAAATTCCACTAATACAGAAAGAGTATCAAATGGCAGGTTTTTTCAATGACCTCAAGGTGGGCAAGCCTCAACTTAACCAAAATAATATGGTTTAATGAACTTGCGCATATTATCTGATAACTATGGTTTCTTGTCTAAAATATTATGTAATATTTAACAGTTTTATGTTTTAAACAAAGCTTATGGACAAAGAATATTATAAGGACATAGAAAAGATCAAGACAATTGGAAGTACATATATGGCAGCTGTGGGACTCGTACCTACTTCAGGAACTAAGGTAAGAAGATTTTACTCGACACTCCTTGGTGAAAGCCTGTTTCCTTTCCCTTCAGTCTCCAGAGGAGTGCCACAGACATAACTAATTCTATGTGATTATGGATAACTTAAATGACTTCTTTGCAACATTTCAAATTTTAAATTCAAAGAAAAGCTGTGGCCTCAAAAGAAAAACTGCCACAGTTGCTCACGTGGCTTCACCTGCAATTTCATTGTCTGCAGTTCTGGATTCTCTGCAAATCGATGGATAAGAGCCTCTAAGTCAGAGTGGTAGTGTTAGATGACCTAAGGTGCAGGGGAAGGGAGACTCTAGATGTAATGAATTGCTGCAAAACTAGTAGAAGAATATTAAAATGTGGGGTTTACTTATTATTTTTTTTTTAATTTGGAAATCTAGATGTAACCTATAATTAAAACAAATGACCTCTCTCCCAACCCCTATCATGGACAGTTACTTTGTGTTAGGCAGTGTTTCTCTTTACCCTGGTCCCTTCAAATAAGCTGTTCTTTGTCTCTGCTATTAGCATTCTTTTTACCCTTTTAATTACTCAGCAATAAAAAAAGTCAAAGTCATTTCAAGCCCCCCAGTTCTGTGACACAGTTCTTTTGCATCTTTATTACTACCCTGAGTGTATTTCTCACCTTAAGTTATTGTCTTGGGACAGAAATTTCCTAGATTTGCAAGCAGGATATGGAAAACTGTGTGGGCAGTATATTGAATATATTGTATAGAGAGTACCATGCATATTAATAATTGTAGTAATAAAACTAAGTTATTAAAATGTTATAAAATTAATAATATAAGAATATCATGAAAATTAAACCAGTCTATTCACCATGTCTACTCAGAGTTTCCAGACAGCTCTCCCTTGTTCTGATATGCACGTACGTACGTTGTAGACATATGTTGTATACACTCATATATACAGTTTAACATTGAAAAATAACATCAAATTAAAGGGTAAAAACAAAAAAGGGCAGAAGATGTCCTGTGAATTATTATCCCTGCTAAGTCAATAAAAAACAAGGCCACACTGAAATCAACTGTTAGAATCGTGTTGGAACATATCACTTGCAACTAATCTTCTGGTCTGCAGGGTATTTGCAGCTGATGCTTTCCTTTGTATCGTTTCTAGAAATCTACATATCACAAAAAAGGTATTTTTAAAAGTCTGTTTTTCCTGAAATGTTTGACTCATGGGTCCTGAGACAGGCAAAAAACATTGAACCTTAGAATTTTTTTTCAGTGTGTGATCTCGAGCAAACAGGCAATATGTCTGCTATAAATGCTCTTTGAACTATAATGCTCAAAACAAGTGTGCTATTGGGTAACTTTGGCAGCATATGTTCCAAAATCTAAACATGTTTGTCTCTTGTATTTTATAGCTGTTAAGTGAAGGGTCAGCTGAGTTAACCCAGTACTGAAGATATTGCTCTGAGCTTATGATAGTAATGCATTTTAAATCACTGCAGAAAGGCTTACCTTTCTCTTAAATCTTGGGGCAAATTTTAATCTTCTTTTGCACACGTAGAACTTACTTAACATTCTATATTCCATAAAAAAAATCTTGCAATAAACAATTAATATTTTTACTTCAACTTGGGATTTCAGCTCTTTTTGTTCTCTTCCAACTGCTCACGTGGTGCAAATGGCAACGGGGCAAACAGGGCAACACACAAACCAATCTCTTTGTAGGCCATTCACACAATATAAAATCATTGTTTATGTATTTCACCAGGATCCTGGCTTCACCAGGGTCCTAACTTTGCGGTGTTCTTCAGTGCAGGTTCAAAAGAGTTTGCCAGTAAACCTCTTGAGATGCATCTGTGACCTGCAGCACATCTAGTATTTGTCACAAGTCCCCTCTCCTGCGACCCTGAAGGGCGTTGCAGGAAAACACAGCATTCATCAAACAGCGAAGAACAGAAGGATAAGGAATGTAAAGAAGATTAGAAATCGAATAAAACGATGCATGACTCCCTCCCTTCTCCAGACATTCAATATTTTTTCCTTCTCTGTTGGAGCGGTAGCCATCAGCTCTTTACGCTTAATTCTTGTTCTTCCTTTTTCTTGGTGATGCTGGAAAAGAGTAGAGCTAGCTAGCTGACACTGTAAGAAGCTGAGTTCCAGACATCCAGGCAGGTAAATAAAAAGATTTTTTTTTTTTTTCCAAGATTTGGGACTGGCCCGAGGATGATTTTATAATTTTTTGTTAGCACTGATTTTTTGTGAATTTCCCAGTCACATGGAACAACCCTTTCAAACTGAGCAGAATAAAGCAAATAGCAACTGGTTTCTCAGGTTTGTCAGCCACTGTCAAGCACTGCATTTATAAAATCTCGCTATGATGGCAAAAACTCAGCAAGCTTTCATCTCATGCCAGCTTCCACAGTCGCATTGTGCAACACCCTACTGAATTTGCCACTGACCCTGCATTTCTTTCACCATATCCTACCTTTAGCCCACTTTTACTTTGCAAATCTGTTCAAAAATTCATATTTCTTAATCAAATACGAGCAGAACATAAGAGCAATCATACTGAGTCAAATCAAAGGCTTATTCTAGTAACCTGTCTTTAACTAACCAAAGGTAGGTCCTGGGGGAAGGGCATGAGTTACAGGACAAATACACAAACCTCTCTTTTCTACTTGCTAATGGTATGCTATTTAAGAAATTCTGGAGTTAATGCCTTTTTATTACTTTGTAGCAAATGTTTCTTTCATGAGTTTGAGTAATTATGTTAGATTCTTGTGAAGTTTTGGAATCTCAATATCCTCTGACCATGAGCTCTACTACAGTTTAATAAATTAGCCTGAAGTTGTAAAAATGATTTTCTTATGTTTAGGCTCTTAGTTAAAAATGGATACTTCGCATTTCATTTGATCCCTTCTGAATCTTTTGCTATAGTTCATTTAGATACATTTTATAACAAATCTCTTCAGTTTGCTTGGAAAGGAAAGAACGTAGGGGTGTTCTGTGTCTCACAGGATTAAATGTAACAGAAATTTTGTCAATGGGAACAGCATGAACCCCATGGAGTTGGGAGCTAGCAAAAACCCCAAAGGGAGAAGAGGGCAGAAACTGTAGTTATTAATAATCACCAGGCAAAGAAGTTTTGTAAAAAAGCAGGTTGTATTCCCTGCCACACTCACAACAAACATCTGCAGCTCTCTAGCAACAGAACCACTTTACCATGGGAACTTTGCTTTCCATTCTTCCCAGAAATCAAAAAGAGAGAGAGAAGAAAAAAAAAATCCAGCACTCAAGAAAAGAATGCATGTGCTTTAGCTACCATTAAAAGTTTCCTTTCACACACAGGAAAATTGGGTAGATTCTTTTCCTAAGCCATCTGTCCTGTTTCTTTCTGGTTTTCACTTTGGTATTTCACCTGCCTCTCGGTATCATACAAATCTAATGTGCAATACTTTTTTTGTTTCTAGGCTAAAAAATCAATTTATTCCCATCTGAGTACACTGGCAGATTTTGCAATAGAGATGTTTGACGTTCTTGATGAGATCAACTATCAGTCCTACAATGATTTTGTCCTGCGCGTTGGTAAGTCACGTTTCTACAATTATCACACAAGCAGAACGTTGTTTTTGTTGGCTTCCCCTATGCTGCCAGCAAAGGATTACCTGTCCTGCCCTCATGATTAAAGCAGAAAATTCTCCTTTAGTGAGAAAGTCACCTTCACGTAGAAGGTCAGCAGGCTGGATGGTATCCATTAGTATTAGGGAATTACAACTGTGTCCAATTCCAATGTGTTTACTTAATCTAGGCACCCCTAAAAGGAAACTGCACAACTAATTTAATGCAAAATTATGAGTGTACCCAGTCTTGTGGCTTACACTGCTTTGCATTGCTAAACTGCTGAAAACTGCGTCTTGCTCTTCTTAGCTATTAAGTTGCAGCTGGAAAAGCTTTGTTGGCATTAAAAGTGTGATGGGAGCTTTTTGTCCACAGATACCTTAACCAGTCCTGTTTTCTCCAACAAATCAAATCCTCTGGTCTTCACAACACAACCCTTCCCTTGCAATCCTTTACACGTTATTACATGTCTTACCACTCAGAGTCCTTTCTCACAGTCTTCTGAGAGATCAGGTTCCCCTCTTCCCCTTCTTCCCTGCGTTCTGCTCCTCTCCAGTGTTCTCATGTCATTGAATATTCTAAAACAGATACTTTTCTCCAGCTTCTTTCTTCACATATTTTCATGGCTGAATTGTGAGAATAGGCTGGACAAGGGAAAAACAAAAGTTGCTAGCAGTGGAAGATTGAGAAAGACCCAAGACATCAAAGGCAGCAATAGGAGAGTTACACATATTTATACATCCTAATAATTATAAACCCCAAATTCTCTTTGAACTCTGTTATAACTGGTCTTTCCAGGTTAACAAAGGATCAAATGTCTAACCCCCATTCTTCTGTGTAACTTGTCTGGGAGAGCCCTCACGTTAAATCTTATGTAGGGTTTAGTATTTGCAGCTCTTCAGGGGCACTCAGAAGGAACATATACTCTTTTATCTTCCAAACAAGGTGTCAGATTTACTCAGAAACGTAGAATCAAGCTCTGCAGTTTCCCAAAAAAAGGTGCTTGAGCCATTTCCAATCCTTTTGTCTTTTTCCTGATCTGAGCTGCCTATTACTACCAGCCAATGTGACACGCTTCCCTTACCCCAATCCTTGCATCTTCCGGACCATTATTTCTGTTCCACTTAGAAAACCTCCACTAGAGGACTTTATAAATGCAACTGCAGTGGAAGTTGTAGGGATCAGTTAAAGAACTTTAACAGTTTGTCTTGTCTACAGCTAAACTCTGGACTACAACTGCTTTTCTTCTTTAAATAAACAATATCCACCAAAAAATCAAATTTTTATGTTGTCTATCATATTGCGTGTCTAATAAGGTATCTCGAGGGATACCTTTGTTTTGTTTATAAACCCTTTGCAAATACAGAAGTCCAGTTGGCATTAAATTCAGCATAGAATCATAGAATACGAGTTGGGTGTGTCCCATCAGGATCATCAAGTCCAGATCCTGGCCCTGCACTGGACACCTCAAGAATCCCACCATGTGTCTGAGAATGTTGCCCAAAAGCTTCTTGAAATCAAACAGGTTTAGTGCTGTGACCACTGCCTTGGGGAGCCTGTTCCAGCACTCAACCACCCTTTGGGTGAAATACTTTTTCTTGGTATGTAACCTTAACCTCTCCTGACTCATCTTCATGCTGTTGACATAAACTACGTCCTATGACCAGAAAAATTCTAAGGCACTTGTGTTGAGTCTGTTTTGTAGGGTTCATGTTTCCCTTGGATAATATGCTGTAGTGTTTGAAACCAAACTCATTGTTTAATTTTAGGTATTAATGTCGGGCCGGTAGTAGCAGGAGTCATTGGAGCCAGAAGACCACAGTATGACATCTGGGGGAACACTGTAAATGTTGCCAGCCGGATGGATAGTACTGGAGTACAGGGAAAAATTCAGGTGAGTGCATTCTAAGACAATTTTGCAAACAGGGAGTTTGCATATGCAAAACTTGCATATTTGCAAGTTTTACGTATGGATACATTTTCAAGACCACTTAGAAAACACAGCCTCACTTGACCTTCTTCTTATGGAAAGGGCAACACTCTCCAGATGACTCAAGCATCAGAGATATGGTTGTTTTCCATCTTATACACTTCACTCCTTGGAGACAATGAAATCCTTAAATAAATCGTTTCCCATTAGAAAAAAGTTCTCTGCTTCATTGCACATAGTTGGAGGCAGGCCCAGGAATCCTGACTCTGCCAGTCCTTGTACTGCAGAAATTTTGCCTGAATAAGACCTACAAGGAAAGGATCTATGTCTGTTTGCATCTTACTGCATTTTACGTAGCTTTAAAAATTCCTTTGATACTTTGGGTTGAAGAGGCAATGCAGACAGAGAACACTGTTGTTCTTCTAGGGCTTGGCTAGAAGCTATGGTGTACCTCTCAAAAGCTCAATGAACTCTTGCAGTCTTTTATCCAAAATACCTGTCTTATCTCCCGGGATCAAAAGGTCTTCTGCAGTAAATTAACGTCACTGAAACTCATCGAGCTTACAATTTGGTTGTACATTTCTGTTGGACGGAGCCTGATCTGGCTGTGTAATTATTCGGCTCAAGACCAGAAGTTCTGCTTCTCAGATTCCAGTTAGATTGGTAATCTTTACTTCTTTAAGAAAGTTCTAAGTGAGCCCGAGAGCAGCTGTAGGTGCTCGTCCATTGGGCTTATGCATATTTCATGACAGAAAAGTGAAATGGAGAGGGGTGAGAAGTTACATGAACAGAAAAAGCTAATAGTTGTTTGTGTTTTTTTCTGTCTTCAGGTGACAGAAGAAGTTCAGCGGATATTAAAAAGGTGCAGTTACGAATTCGTGTGCAGGGGTAAAGTCAGTGTAAAGGGAAAAGGCGAAATGTTGACCTATTTCCTGGAAGGAAAGGCTGATGGAAATAATTCCCAAACACGGTCTTTAAACTTAGAGCGGAAAATGTACCCTTATGGGAGGGCAAACATCCAAACAAAACTGGGCACCAGCTGCCCGTCGGTGTCCTCAGCTGCTAGCTTTACTGCAAAACCTGGGCTTGGAGCAGGTCAAGCGTCTGCCACTCACACAAATCAAACACTGCATTATCTTCCTTCTGTGCCGGCTGTGAAGGAGGCATAGAACAAAGGAGATTTGGTTGTGCCATCTGCAGTGAACTTGGAGAGCAGTGGTTGACTGAATTTTTACCAAGAGGTCAGAGGTCATAGGCCATGGCATTAACCAAGGACCGCTACAACCCAACCAAAGAGAACTTGGGGACTCTGTAACAAACTCTTGGGATGGAACATATAAGGGCTAGCAATTCTGTTGGGAAAAGTCAAAAGGAGATTTTCTGGAAATGAGGAATATTTTCGTGGCATTTTTAAAGGTTAGTTGAAAAAAATTAGATATATGTGCAAGCAATTATTTATGTGTGTGTGTATATATATGTTTTAATCTATATATGCACATATACAAACAGTTCTGTGTAGACTTAATAGAGATTTATAGAGATAAACAAAAAAATGTGTATTTATTTACACATCCACCTGCAATGACATAGTAAAGAGATTTCTTTCTGTCACAGGCAGCATTGTTGGGCATGGGATTAGAAAAACGTCATTTCACTGTGGAATATGGGGCACCTGGAGACTCTTCAGGGCTACAGCAAGAATTAGAGAAACTCTGCTCCCAGTGCATGAGTTAAAGCAATGAGAACAGTGTTTATTGTGCTGTCAATGGCAGGTTAATGAAGGCTGGATTCAGCTTATTACTAAACTCCATGTTCTCCTTGCATGCTTCAAAAATTTCCAAAAAATTCTGATCAAAGCATAACACTAGGATATGAAGTAGGTAAACCACACAGCTTAAAGTTTAGGCAAAAGAACAATATATATTCTTTCCATTAAAAAAAAAAAAAAAAAAAAGGGTGGTAGAGTTTAGAAGTTACTGCCTCTTTGTAGGTCATTGGACTCTGTGCAAGACAGAGGAGCCACCCTGCAAGCACAGCAATATGCTTATGCAATATAGAAACATTCCTTTATGTACAGTGCTGATTTTATTGAGGAGCAGAAGGATGGTATTATTTCAGGCTTTTAGAAATAGCACAGGTCTGGCTCAGTTCCAGGATTAGCTTTACCTTTCTAAACAGCTCAAAGAATAGTCCTGTGCTGGTGCCAAAAACGCTGTTGCTAGTTTTGTGACATTTGTATGTTTGCCAACATAATTTTACATCTTAACTGATTTTTAAATTTATGCCACAGTTTTATTATATCTTGGTTCTATCCAGGCTCACTCTTCAAAGCTGTACAATTATAGAAAGCTGTAATTCTGAGAAACAAGCACAGTCAAACTTTGCCCAAATGAGGAGCATTGGTAAGGGTGCCAGGAGAGTGAGGCCTGCTCTTAGTCTGCATTAAAAGGGAACATATTTTGACTGCTTTTTTCTTTAATGCAGCCCACATCCTATTGTTCATGGTTTCATCTTGAAATGCTGATTTGGATATGAAATGTGGAGTGCATCTCTGTACTCGAGGTGGGGGCAGTGGGAGGTCATCCTGCTGAGTGGCATGTACTCTGTAGACAGGTGCCATACTGTCCTGATGGGGATTCACAGGTGAACTAACCTCACTGCTTTCCAAAAGAGGAGCAAAACTTTACATTGTCTAAAAGAATGCAAAATGTCCTTTTAACAAAAAAAAAAAAAAAAAAAATCCCCATTCCCCCTGCCAAAATGTGAAGACCAAAAACCACCACCACGACCAACAAAATGAAAAACCCCACCCTAGATTACAGAAATTGTCCAGATTGTACAATAGAAAACTTGTGTATAGGTGTCACATTTCCCTTTAGGGGGCCAATTTTACTACATGTTTCAGTGGAAAGAAGATTCTGAGTGATTCTTCTGCAATCAGCTTTTGCTTTGGAACAGTCACTGTTTGTGTCAAAAGTATATGGACAAATACTGTGTCAGCAGATGCAAATAGTTTTAGAAATGTTACAGGAATTCCTGTTCTTCATGTACCACATCAGGCTACTGTGGGACTCCAGTGGTTTTCAGCAGGGTTTTAAATGAATTTTTATGTACCCTGTCAGCAAGGTGCTTCATGCAAAGCTAGAAAAATTAGTGTTGTGATTACAGTGACTATAAGAACTGCTTACTGACTGTACTGTAAAGGGTGTCTGCATCCTGGTTGATCTGTAGAAAGATTTCTTTATCTCCCTAGTCACTATCCAGTTCACAGCTATTTTCTAGAATATTTGTTTCCGGTTTTGAGGCATCCAAAGCCATTTAAATAAATACATGTAGAGAATACAGATATAAAAGAGCAAATATTTACATAATTAAACTGAATAAGTGGTATTCGTGTAAATCACACTGCATATTTATGTTGTCAAATTAGTTTGTAAGAACTAAATTATCATGCAGTTAAGTTAAATATTTAACCAAGTTGGAAAGCATTATGTGCAATAGCATTAATCACTCAGTTCCACTCTTAAAGATTCCGTGCTACGCAATTTTTGAATCAGTGAATGTGGTATGATTTCAGTGATAATAACAGAATAAAAGACTCTTCAGATTAGCAGCAGATCTGGTAGTACATGAACACATTGAACAGATACACTCAGTGACTGACCCAAAAGTTTGTAATGAAATCATTTATTTGTTATTCTTTTTATTAGGCCCAAGATATAGTAGGCATCTTGCCATTGCCTCTTTGATCACTAAATGGTCAGCGAGCAGAAACAGATTGTCACCTCTGCTAATATTTTTGTGACTGTTCACGTTCACAGACCCATTCCCAGCCTGCTAATGTCACTGGAAGATCAGGTAGCAAGGTAAATTTGGATTATTGATTTTGAAATCTCAGCAGGTGTTAGTAGAAAAGGTCCGAAGGTTTTTCTAAGCCAGACCCTCCTTTCCAACAGCCAGATGAGGCACGTGACTTTTGTAAGAGCGTTTTCCATGTCGAATGGAAAGGACCAGACAGTCCATCATCAGCTTCTCACTGGGCACCTTTGCAGGAGGTTTGTGCCTCTCAGAGCAGGTTGAGTGGACCAGGATGGCTTCTTGGCAAGCTAGTGCACATATGCTATCTTACAGCATCAGTTATGGTGTACTTGAAGTCAGTTTCCAGACTTTTGAGTCATAGAATCATGGAATGGTTTGAGTTGGAAGGGTCCTTAAAGACCATTTAGTTCCAATTCCACTGGACACTTCCAATAGGCCAGGTTAACACTATTCTCATTAAGTTCATCATCATTAATATAATTATCCTATCATTAATGTATTTCATATTTTTGTTATGCTTGTTGTTGCTGGTTGTACTGTGGGGAAAACTTTATATTACTATGTAGTCCTTGACTGAGTAGCACAAAGTCACGAAAAAAGTTCAGCCAAGGCACAAATTAGTTAAAAATCCTGTGAAAATGACAGGCAGTATTCAGCAGCCATTTCAACAGGGAAAGCTAAATGCCCATTGAGATCATGATATGTTGCAGCTGTGCTTTTACCTTTATGCTTTCCCTCCCTACTCTTATAATTTTCCCCATTTTCCTCTTCTGTGTAAATTTGTTTAGCTCTTGTGTGACAACTTTAAATAACATCTGTAATTTCTCTGCTCTTCTGCATTCTTTGACATGTCCGTAGGTTTCATATGTGGAAAGAGGGGGAAATATATATTAAAGTAATATTTCCGAAAACCCTACAAATGCACATTTTCTGCCAAATCAGATAAGCTTGTATTCAAATTTTTATTGGCAATTGACCTAAGGTGGTATGTGGAATTTGTATTGCGTCCACCTTACTGCATAAAGTTGTATTTCTTATCTTGCCGACGTTAATTTTCTGGTCAAGCACTGAGCTTTTGCCTGGCTGACCTTGCTGTAGCCCCATCAAGGAGTCAGCTCTGCACCCTCCCAACTAAAAGTCCCTTACATTTCTCTGAGCATGGTAACTTGTTGCACTGTGGGCAGAATGTCCACCTGTCTCCTCTACTTATGCTCACTGTTTTGTGCAGCAGTTGTCTTGAAACAATTAACAGATATAAGCCCTAAAACAAAGTGATGCCATTTTGGCATGTCAGTGTCTGTCCACAGCAAGCACAATATTTCACAACAGTTTGCACGTTTTCTCTTTCAGATAATAGTAATAATTGAAGTCTTTCATTCTTTATATAAGGATATAAGTATCAGAGATCTTTAGTCTTGGGAGCTAATTTCTGAGTGTTCCTATACTACCTTTGTCTTCAAATGATTTTTTAATTATTATTCTCTGCTGAGATTGCAGGCTGGTGTTCCACTGAATAACTGGCTAGATATTTCCAAATGTGTTCCATTTACATTGACTAGAGATCTATTTTATCCAGCCTGTAAAATGCACAGGTTTTTGTAGCTGCTTCCCACTGGGGCAAGTCACACCCCCTCATCTTCACCAAAACACATGTGAACACAAAGCTCACTTGCTTTCTTTAGGTGAGACCAAGAGACAAAAGCTTCAGCTTGTTAGGGCTGTATTTGCATCCCTTATGTACCCACAGGGCCTGCAGCAATCACCAGGAGTTCAGCGTGCTTGTGAAGGTCAGGAACTGAGCTCCTGTGGGCCAAGTTCTGCTTTGGATTATAATGATGTCTCATGTCAGTACTGAACTGAACATTTTGCAGCACTGTAACCAAGAGTGGGTCATGCACCTGAATCTCTTTCACACTTTTGCCTGTAATTTATCTGTAGGGCAAAATAAAGTACTTGGGAGTCACTGTTTTAGGGAAATCTGTGCCATTTCAGTGCTTTGAGGAGTCTGAACACATTAGTAAGTAGCATGAACCATTTTCATTGGATTCCTGCTTGTAGCAGAAACAATGCATTTTCTTTACATCAGCAAGTCCAGATTCTGTATGTGTTCTGCCCAGGCAGGAGGACTATTTAGCCATAATGTTCTTTCAAGTTAAGGGTTTTGTATTACAGTGAAAATCAACATTTTTTAATTTGTGATAAATCTGTATTATAATGCCTTATTTATTTTTAATCTTGTACAGTGTTACAAAACAACAGAAAACATAGGCCTTTCATGTATTATTCACTTTAAAAGATGTATTGTACTATGAAATTTTGTAAATAGTTTTAGCTTGGACAGGTAATTGCATGTACACTTGTATAAAAAGAGGCAAAAAGGCACACTTTTAACAAAAATTAATGACTTTTGTAAGAGACATTTTACATGTGCATGGAGATTATATATATCCTTTGAAAATGGACGTCCTTTTGGTTTTCCTTGCAATCTACTGCATGCCATTCATGCCTGATTCAGTAAAAGAAAACGAACTAGTAAGTTTTCCTAAATGTTTTTAACATATCACTTCTGGCACAGTTAATCCACTAGTTGCATGTGCATTCAGCAAATCAAAATGCAAACAGCAAATAAAGAAGAAAAATAACCTAATGATTGTGATCTGCCAACCTCAGTGTTCCAAGGTCCATAAAAACAGTATATGAAAAGTGTTATCAACATCTAAGATGTCTTCATGAGGTACCTTCTGGTCACTAGAAGCAATAAACTACTTACTGTAATATAAAAAGCAAACAGATATTCTAGTTCATAATGGTGTAATATCTGACATTCAATGGGTAGTGTCTGATACTGCATTTGATGTAGTATTTTCATCATGAAGGACCAAGTGTCAAATCTGTCCTTGCTGTATGCAGTTGCAACACTATGGAAGGTAAGGGAGGTGAATTTGGCCCATTGATGTTACCCAGAGTATTCTTCTAATGTGGTAATAAGTTATTGTATGTGAAAAGTACATCATGCAAATACGTTGTTTTCCTGGATACATACATATATATATGTATGTATATTTTTTATATATATAAATTAATTTTGTTGCCTTATTTCTGTCAGCTTTTTTGACTCATTTTCCAGATAGTTTCTATTGCTAAGCAGAAAGTATTTAACAAAACTATTAGGATTCATTGAATTTATCTGGCTTTGAGTCATCTGGATTCTGTGCTGATGCCATCCTTACAGTGATGCCTCCCTTAGGCATCACAGCCTAACTCTCAGCTTGAGGCCCATGTCAGCTAGTGACATAGAAATAAGAAATCAGTATCCAGTCCTCTATCTGATTTTTTCCATAATGCTGCTAAACAAAACTTCAAATTCTGGAGGTATTTTGCATGCCTCATTGTTAAAGTTGTCACATCTGTGTCACTACAACTCAGGATTACTTCTCAAATTACTTATATAATTGCTGTATTATAAATGAGGAGTGTTGGAGGAGCGTAACGCTGATTCTGGTGGCAAAGGAGAAAGGGCATGGAGTATGAATACTTTCTGCTTTGGATAAGGACTTCTTGTATTTTACAATTTGAGCTAGTTTTATAATACAACTCAGAAATCTGTTAATTTGTTTGTTTAATCGGGTGATTGTAGGGTTAATTAAGCAGTACAGCTTCTGCAAGTACTTTTGTCGTCCTGAATTAAGATGCATATTCATACAATATAGCCCCGTTGCCTGCATACAAGAATCACTACCTTGTACTGATGATTGGCTTCATTACAGTAGTTAATGGTTTCTAACTTCTCTCAAATTCAGTGGGTTTTACATCTCAGTGTAGCATAATTGTTGTGAATAATGACAATCTGGACACTGCTTCTCTACCCCAACCCTGTTTATGATTGGCTTTTTCCAGAACT